ATTGTCCTTGGTTGTACTGGAGACATCTCTTGTAATCGGGTAATCTTAGTTTCAGCTTCATAGCAAACGGGTCAACCCATAGTTGCTCCGCTCCTGTGCCAACGAAAAATACACAGAATGTTTATCACAGTCCCTTGTGGAAAGATTGACAGACTGCTGTCTCAGCATATCTAGCATACATACGCATTAAAAGCATACGGTAGCCATCCTGGAGTGCTGACAAAATCAGTCCGACATTAGAAATGCAGTTCAGTATGGATGGTAGCAGGCCACCAATAGATCAGCAGTTTCACACGCGATCAATTTTAATCATATAATGGCACCGCCAATATTGCGAAAACAGGCATCGTGCCATTTTCTGAATCGACAATTCACACCACCACGTTGGTCGAATCGAAAAACATTCCAAATGATATCCGCTGCTAACAGTGTCACGCCATGCACTTAGCTCAGAAACTGGGAGACGAAGCTATAACCTTTCAGTCTATAAATGGAGCAAAAATGCAACGGCCACCGTCTGGCAGAAGCAAAAGATTTGCCACGGCTCAAAACTGTGGCTGTGCCTAGCGTCCATTTTGACCTCTTATATAGCAATCAGGTACCTTCTTGACTTCCCTAAAATGAACTACAGGATCAAGATCTGGAGGACTCGTGCATAACTCAAGATAGGCTCAGATCTAAAGCCCCCTTTGCACCACATGCTCTTCAAGAAAAAGGACAATAGGCTTAAAAGGAACAAATCATGGCTGGGCAGGGCAGAGGATGACATCATGCAGGTATGCAGTATCACAGAAATTGTCCATGTGAGGAATGGATACCAGCGTCTAAAGCGCCCAAACTCACATCCGCTTGTGTTGTGACGCTCGATAGGAGTTGTCAATGCCGAAGTATGCGCGCTTACCAGTGGCAAGTCAGATGAGACAGATGTGGTGATCTTCACAGACGGGTCCGTTGTACGAGAACATAAGAGTGCATGGGCATTTACAGCTCGCTCTTCGGGCAAAATAGTTCAAGAAGCCAGCGGGGCCTTCTCAATGGTGACACAAGCTTTCATGTGGCTAGAATCACATTCCTGCGTGTGTGTGCTGGGTGATTCTTTGAGCATAATCCGTCGTGTCGAGGCATGCTGGTTTGAGTCATCGCAAAACTCTCCTGTATATGCAGTTACCTTCATATTCGTCCCAGGGCATGCAGGCGTTTTTGATAATGACAAATCTGATAGACTGGCAGGTGCTGCAATAATTGAAGATTGCTGGCACATGGATAACGCAGACATTGTCTTTGCCCTTAGAGAGATGGGACGTTTTGAGGATTTTGGAAGCAAGGTATCCACAACACTGCTAAGAATACGAGAATCGGGAGTAAGGATCGACACAGCCAAGCATGAGAAGTACACCGGACGCACACAAAGTATTGTTACCAACATAGGACTGGCACTATTAACTGCTCGACGCTGTTGAATATATTGAGAGGGGCGTCTTATTGCCTATGAATGTGCCCGGAATGCTGTGAAGATAATCTAACTCATAAGCCATAACATCTCTTTGCCAGTGACTTATGCATACGATGGATTTCGTTTTATCAGATAATTTCGAATCGTAGACGCAGCTGAGACTCTTAACTGGCTCTTCTAAAACCGTGGTAAACTTTTTTTTTCCTTGCGACATAAAAACATATTGCCACAACTTTACCTTTATGGATTGATAAGACTTCTGGACTTCTGTGGCTTGAACTGCACGCCACACTATTTAACAATGTAGTCTAGCCTCTTCAGAATAACGCGGACATGATCTGTGTTACTCATTATGATCGTCGGATTATCCATAAATGCTGGCAGTGGCAGCATCCAGTGATCCTAATTTTAGGGCCCTGACCAACGCCGGCAGCCCGATCTAACATGACCTGCATACGTGAATATTTTGTCGCAGACTAACAAACGTTTAGATTTGCGTTAGCGGTAGTAAAAGGTTCACACGCAATTAATTTTTTAATTTTTTTTTTTTTTTTGGCAGCAGTTTGCAATTAAAATTTGTGTTTATTGTAGCAGATTGTACAAACACTAAAATTTGTGTTCATCGTGGCAGATTGTACACAGGGTTCGCTGCCACGTTGACTATTTCAGGTTTTGTTGCCTGTGTGTGTTATCAGTTCGTTATCTCCGCTCGGAGACGAGAAAAACCAGTCTGTCTTGGATGTGGCCTGGTCGGATACGTATCGATCTGGTGCCGACAATGTGCGTCACTTTCCGGTCTGTGTTCCAGATCATATTGTATTCATGAGTTTGTCGCTGACCTAATTTCGTAGAAATTGGTATCTCCGACCATAAGATAGAATTTGTTGAACTGATTTAGGTTAAATTTAGGAGAAGAATATTGTCTTTATTTTCATTTGCTACATTGAGAGAAAGAAATACTTATACTTGATTTGAATTGTTGCAATAGCGGAAGAGGATTCTTGATTTTTATCTATTACATTAGAGGAAACGAATCAGTCTACCTGATATGGGGCTAGTGATGTGTAGCTGCCGGCTAGTATACGTGATGCAGTGATGTGTGGCTGAAGACTAGTCTATTTGATATAGTGCTGTGTGGCTACGGGCTAATTGATATGTTAAAGGAAAGTCTGTGAGCCAATGAACTGCGTAGCTTCATGATAGGGTGCAGTGTGGCTGCTAGCTAGTCCACGTGACAAGATGTGTTTGGTTGTGATGTAGTCTACATGATAGGAAGCTGCGTGGCTGCGGACGTCTATGAGACAGGATGCTGTATGGCCGCAAACTAGTCTATCTGATATGTTACTGTGTGGCTGCTGGCTAGTCAAGGTGTTGTGGTGCTGTGTAGCTTCGGGTCTTTCTACATCACAGGATTCTGTTTGACTGTGGGCTAGTCTACCCGATATGATGCTATGTGGCTGCGGGCTAGTCTGTGTGTAAATTATTATTTTTTCTGTAAGCTAGTCTAGGTGTCAATGAGCTATGTAGCTTAGGGCTAGTCTGCCTGACAGGATGGTGTAAACTGTGGGTTAGTCTAGGTGTCAATGAGTTATGTAGCTTAGGGCTAGTCTGCCTGACAGGATGGTGTAAACTGTGGGCTAGTCTAGGTGTCAATGAGCTATGTAGCTTAGGGCTAGTCTGCCTGACAGGATGGTGTAAACTGTGGGTTAGTCAAGGTGTCAATGAGCTATGCAGCTTAGGGATAATCAGCCTGACAGGATGGTGTAAACTTTGGGCTAGTCTATGTGTCAATGAGATATGTAGCTTAGGGCTAGTCTGCCTGACAGGATGTTCTATAACTGTGGGATAGTCTATGGGCCAATTATTTCTTTTTCGGTGGCCTAGTCTGTGTGGGACGGAGGTGTGTTGATTAGAGCTGGTCTATGTGATAGGATGTTGTGTAGCTGTGGAATAGTCTACATGACAGGATGCTGTATGGCCGTGGACTAGTCTACGTTATATTGTGCTTTGGGGCTATGGGCTAGTAGTCAATGTGCCAGTGAACTGCATGGCCGCAGGCTAGCCTATGGGCCAAAATTAGGTTTATTGTGGGCTAGTCTATGTGACAAGATGTTGTGTGGCTGCAGGTCTTTTTATCTCACAGGAAATTGTGTGGCTGCGGGCTAGACTACACGACAGGATGTTGTGTGACTGTGGGATAATCTGCATGACAGGATTTTTTGTAGCTGTGGGCTAGTCAGTGTGCTAAAGCATTGTGTGGCTGTAGGTTAGTCTACCTGATGAGGTGCTGTTTGGCTGCCGGCTAGTATACGCTGTGAGTCGCCTTGTGAATGCAGACAAGTCTATTGCCAATGACCTTGTTGGCTTTGGGCTAGTCTACGTGACAGGATTTTGTGTGCCTGTGGGCCCTTTTCTCTCACAGAAAACTGTCCCATGACAGGATGCTGTATGGCTGTGGGCTAGTCTACGTTATATGGTGCTATGTGGCTGTGGGCTTGTCTACGCGCCAATGAGCTGTGTGGTTGTGCGTAAGACTATGTGCTAATGGACTATGTGGCTGCGATCTAGTCTACACGCAACTGAGATGTACAATTATTGAGATAGCCTATTAGGAAAATACAGGTAGCGGCGGCGACTTTAAACCTTACCGAAAACAGTTAGTGTCGCCGCATCTCGTCTTTGCAGAAACTCAACGTAGCAGCTTAAACCCTAACCCTAACCCTAAACCCTACCCCTAACCCTAACCCTAAGCCCAACCCTAACCCTAACCCTAACCCAGCAACCCAAACCCTAACCCTAACCCTAAACCTAACCCAAACCCTACCCCTAACCCAAACCCTAACCGTATGATGACAGTAGGGCACTGCACGCTGTCTATCGCCAAAACACAGTAATTATGTCACTTGTTTCCTTCGCTCTAATCCACTTCCTAATGCAAGAAGCAGTAATTGAACGCGGTAGCTAATTTGAGGCGCAGCGCGGGTTCTGCCAGGTATGTCGACCTAACTTTGTTTTTTCATTCGTGCCATCTCCAGTCCGTAATTGCACTGCAGCAAGGGGACAGAACTCCGACTAACCGACCGTCTACTCTTGTCTACCTGCCGTAGTTGAAAGGAGAGCCTTATCTTCTATTGTAAACGTCTCTCGTCCTACTAATTAATCTCTCACAATACAAGTAGAGGTATAGAACGCCTGCTTTCAGTCATGCTTCTGTGAAGTGTCTGTGTATACTTTCACTGTTATGTGTTGTCATTGTTGTATGTAATTGTTGCGTGCTATAACTGTCGTATGCTTTCATTCTAGTATGTCAGGGATGGCTACTGTATTAGACACGGTTTATAACTCGACTGTAAAGCTATGCGAGGTGTCTCGCTGTGTTGTGTCTCACATT